TAAACGTCGCAACACCTATTTATAACAACTCGTTTGCATATTAGAAATATATTACACAATTGCTGCTAAAACTTAATTGTGAACAAAGAAAAACCTTTCAGTAATTAAAAAATAAAAAAAACACCTACATACGCACGAACACACTCACATACATGCATACTGTATAATTCTAGATACCTATTTAAGACTTAGATTTAGGAAACCCACTACCTCCTGGAAAACAGATCCTCACCTATCAATCCCGTGGAGTGAACTCAGCCTCCTGGCAGAGTGCTAAGTGTTAGTAAAATTTTGTGGATCAAAAAAGATTTATTTATTTGTCTAGATTCCTTTGAGAGACTGACATTGATGGATTTTGTTTGTGTACAAGTAGACACACTCTGTTAAATGTCTAGATGAGAAAAAAATATTAACAGTTCATACATTTGCCATATAAAAAATAATTAGTAATAGAGTGAATGAAATGTGATTTTGTGCTTCGATTATAAATAAAGGCGGTCAATGTATACTATGAGTGGTCGACGTTCATCGCTCCCGAAAGGATGTTATTCAGTTTGTTTGCTTAAAGCTACTTATGTTGACTCGAATTGGGCCGCCTAATTGTGTGCGCGTAGCTCGGTGGACGACCCGGGATTTACTATCGTTTTATACTGATACTAGTGGACGCACGCGACTTTGTCTCTCTTTAAACGTGTTAGATTGAAAAAAGGATTTTTATCACAGTTTTTTAAACGAAAACGAGTAGGATGACAGTATGTCACTTGTGTGTTTTATAGTGGAAACAGACGGTTACACAAATCGCACTCGCTCTAATTTTCAGGACATAACCAAGTTTATGTATAAGGTACATCAATGAAAAAAAAACAGTTTGAGTTTTTTGTATTTTTTATGTGTACCGAAATGTACAGACAGACGATTGCATTTTTTATCCATTAGCAAAAAGGACAGTGATATACATGACATGTAGAGTTGTAATAAATCTCCACGGACTTTATTTCTGAGCGTCGATTAGAAATAGCTATCGTATATACCCGATGCACCCGCTCCTACATTCGATTCCACATTCGCTAGTGTTGTAAATTAACTTGATTAATTGATTCCAATAAAGTCATGTTTGATACCAAATCATTCTGTTTGTTAATTGTATTTTTATAGCCATTATAATGATTTTCAATTCAGTAGCAGTTGGTTGCAGCTCCCAAGGTGACTTTATGTCGTACACATTGTACTAATGATGTTTAATATTAAATGGATTCAAGTCGAAACTAAATATGATAATTTTCAAGAAATTAACAAACAATCTATTCCACGAACAAATAGTCACGAATCAAAAGTTTTTAGTAATGACTCGGATCGCTTAATATCAATCTCTTTTACACATTACCGACTTTAATAATGACATTAAAAGCTAGATTTTAAAATATAATTTAAAATGAAATAAAACGTAAAACAAACAAACGTCATTTGTCCCGAGAATTTCATATTGCAATTTATTACACATTCGTATTCGCGTAATGTGCTCCCAATATGTCGAAATTGTTTGTTTTCCCACAAGAAAAGTGTTTGAGGGGGAATTCGGAGATTACACGATATATTAGAATATTATTTGGCTGGGAAATAAATGATTACAGTTATAATTCAACGAGCGGTCGAGAGTTTGAGGCATTGCACGTGTGTGGTCGCGCAATACGTTCCATGGCAAATCTTTTGATCCTAATGACGGCCGGTTTACGCTGGCCGGTTCGACGCGCGCCAAACTACGCTGATTTATGTTCATCCGATCAGTACTTAGCGAGGCCCGTGTCCTGAGCACCGGAGATTACCCATTCACCTTTCTTAAACATAAACACGAGCAATATAGGCATTAATATGTGCAAGAAATTAGGTGGGTTATGTAAAGCGATTAAGTTTTAATTAGCATTTATTATTTAATTGACTTCATTTTTTAAATCTATCAATCTTATAAAAGCTATTGTTACAGTCTTTACCTTCTATTATTAACACAACATATCTTTGTATCGAATCGATGTATCCCTACGAGCATTTAGATCTTAGGTAGATGTAGATTATAAACTTTAAAAGATATAACATGATAATATCCTTGCGTTTGTGCTTTTCCAGCCAGTATCGGCAGCCGCGGCGCACATGTTAAACATATAGCTACGTAGCGCGTTATAGAGTGGGTAAACTTAAATAAATATCGAATAACATCACATTCGTTACACATCGATTCTCGTATCGAGTAAACAGAGGCGATCAGCGCGCAATGATAGCATCTATATCGGTTGGTGCGGATGGAGCACAGGTGTTAGCCGACAGGCAAAATAAACCGAGCCGTAATCGATTTTAGAGCTTTATGCTATTCACACGAGGGCATAGCAGTGAACCATTGCAGTAGAACAACGCAGTACTGCTATTATTTCAACTGACAACGCCGAGACACATAACTATATTGTCAGTATAAGTGTGTTGTTTGCACTATCTACTAATCTACCTTAATTGTCCGCCCTCGTGTGAAACTATGAGAGCTAACAATTCGCTTCAATTGATCGCTGTGTGTTCAGGCATTAACACGCGCGTAAGATTTATTTTCATATAATGTTGGTATATAAATAAAATTGGATTAACAATATAGATTATGCCAGACTGAAATTATCCAGACTGGGTTTGGTGAACTGGATGCGTGTTAGATGGGTTCGTGGTTATTAAGAACTCATTACATCTCTAAATGAGGCATAGATTTAGCAGGACCTGGCGGGGCTCGCAACTAATTGTAATTTACTACCAACATATCTGAATAGCTAACAGTATAGTTATTTACAAAGCTCAGCTTGAGCGCTTTTCATTTATGACATATCCTTGAGGAGATAAGCAAACCGTAAAATGGAATGTAAGTGTCATCTTGCTGTCACATTGTTAGTTGATACTCTTTGGTTGATGGAGCATAGACTACAGACTGTCATTGCATAAGTGTGGTCATATCCCTGTCCCGTACTTATTTTGCAAACCAATTAAACAATAAATAACAACAAAAATTTACAAACAAACCTAAAGTTAGACCTTTAAATATACGTTCATACAATCTACGTGTGGCCTATTTCGTGTTTAGTCCTTTGAATGATTTTGAATCAGATGGAAAAACTTATCAACTTCTTCAAAAAAACAACTTACTTAACTAGCGGAGTTAGAAGTCCACAAACAGTCTGTAAATGTATATGGACAGTGGTCACTTCGCTATTTCGGCGAAATCAAATCTAAGTAAATGTTAAAACATTCGACTTCTATAATCAGTATAAGTAAAAGAATGACTAAAAGAATTTTCTTTAAACTCATGAACAAAATTATCATATCGTTTCACGCAACACAGATTAAAGGCGAACAGTTTTCAGTACCGTTATCAAGTTACTGAACAAAATGTAAACTAAATTAGTTTAATAATTTCGATATAAACAAGATGTACAAAAGATAAAATATGAAGTTTTTTCGTTACTTAGGTAGTTTTTCTTTGTATCGTATTAAAATGTAGATTAAAAAACAGTCTGAAAATAAATATAATCTTCAAAACCAAAATATATTCTGCCTACTCTATGTTTCCTTTTAAAAGAGTAAATAATGAAAACATATTTGATTTGTGGGTAGACTGATAATATTACATAGACTTTAGTGTAAGGAATAAAATATTGCTACAGTATTAAGTGGCAAAAAAGAGATCGCGTCTTCATACAAAATACTTTGGTAAGTGCATTTTACATACTTGACATATTTAAAGTTACTTGAATACTGTTGATATAAAAACATACAGACGAATTGATAGCCTCCTTTTTGGAAGTCGGCTAGAAAGCCCGTATATTAATAGAAAACGTTGACGCTTTTTCGTCGTTAATTTATTAAAATCGTAAAACATATGAAAGTCGTAAAATTAATTTAATAACAGTCATTTGTTTCGGGACGTATTAAATTTCCTATCAAGTTGTGGTGCAGACGTGCTTTAGCTTTTTAAAGTTTTAAAGAGTAAAAGGTAAATAATACCTACATATCTTATATCTTTAAATGACACATATATAATTGGAATCGGCTCCAACGATTTTCATAAAATTTAGTATATAGAGGGTTTCGGGGGCGATAAATCGATCTAGCTAGGAATCATTTTTAGAAAATGTCATTTTATTCGTGTTTTATCGATAATCAACTTAAACATAAACTTAACTTTTTCTATCGGTAAGATCGAAAAATATTATTCATATTTCATCATTTTATTAGTAATACGTACTTAAATATAATTTCCAAAAAACAAAATTTAAAAAAAAAATCCGAGCAAAGCTCGGTCATCCAGGTACTATATTTTAATATGAAAAAAGTAATGAACTAGGTTTTCTTTACTTTAGCGACGAATTAATTAGAAGTTATAATTGTAGAAGTGAGTTTATATAATCAATTGTAATTTTCAGGTAACTATAATGGAACTGGCATTATACGAGTATAGTAATGTTTGAATGACTGAAAAAGGAAAATTGAACATAGGGTTAGATTATTGGCCTCTTTTTATTCACAATTATATTTTTCTTAGTATTTTACTTTATTATTTATGAGAACTTATTATACATACTAATATTTAGGTCGATGTTTGTTAGAAGGAACAAAAGAGCTTAACGGATCATGCTGAAATTTGGCATAGATGTACAACATAGTCTGAAAGGAAACATAGGAGTTGCGTCAGAAACTACTAGGTATGCACAGTAATAGCGTTAGTTTTTTTAATGTTAATCTAAATAAAGGATTTTTTTTTCTTATATTTGTTTTTAATGGCAGTTGAAGGTCATTAAAAATCTAAGTTACGTCAATTTTTTTGAGAATATCACATAATTTACAATTAATTTATTTATCGAACTTCACAGAATAAAAAGTCCAACAGGCGGGCAAAAGTCGTGTACTCAAAGCCCTATTCACTCAAATTCAACGGACTCCATCTTAGAGTCGTGCGTGACGTAAGCGGGTAAGCGGCGCAGTAATAGTCGTAAAATTAAATCGAACTTGCGAAGTAATATAAAACACATTAAATAGTCAGTTTGTTGTAAACAAACCGCAGCCAGGCGTATATCATCAGCTAGTGTTCTTCAAGCGTTCACTCCATCACTGTGTACGCCACGCCTAACTAATACCGACCAATCAAAGAGCTCGTTACGATCGGACACGCCTCCTGCTTGCGCCTGCGCCGGTAAACTAACCCTAAAGTTGTCAGTGTTGGTTGAACCTTGGTTGAATGTGGACGGATTTGTGATGATGCGATGACGTCTATCAGTAGTGATGTGACCACGAGTAAACTTAAGTTCAGTGTGGACAGTATCTTAGGTAACAATGAGTCGATAAGTTCTAGTGGCAGTGGGCCTGTAGCGGAATGTGCGCGTGCGCAGGAGCCGCCGTGCGCGGGTTGCGTGGCCGCGCTGTACCGCTGCTGCAGGGACGAGCCGCCGCTGCTGCAGCTGCCTCTCTCCGTGCCCTACGCACACTTACATCCAGCCTTAAGGCCAACTACAGGTTTGGGATTTTTAAGAGCAATGTCCTTGTGTGCCCAATGAATCTGACAATTATTTTCACCTTTAATTTTATTTATTAAAAATACTTATAAAATTAATAAAACTCTTTCTTTAAAATGTATAATTTAATCTAAAGTATGAACTTTATATTATAATTATAATAAATAAAAGAACAAGTCTGGAAGAACTCAAAGGCTGATTATATTTTTTTTTAATCCGCGCGGATAGAACCGCAGTCCTCCGCTAGTATATAAATAATTTACTTGCAAGAGCTATTTATGAACATTTAATGGAGAACTTAACCGTCTTTACGGAGAAAACAATACAAATATTTTGATTTGGACAAAGTTTTTCCTGAGCATGCGATTTATTTGTTTAATGTAAATTAAAAATTATGCATTACCCTTATTTAATAATCTCCCGTCTTTTAAATATTCGAGTAATATCCGGTTTTGTGATAAAGATCATACTATATTCGTTGTTCGCATCATGTCGATGTGAAAAATTATTTAGAAATCTTCGAAAGTACATTTTTATCTAGGCGTCGCCAGGGACTTCGTCCGCGCGCAATTAAAAAAAATATTGGTCGTGGCGTAATGTTATATAGCCTAAAGCCTTCCTCTATAAATGAACTATCCCACATAAAAATAATTTTTAAAATCGGACCAGTAAGTAGTTCCTAAGATTAGCGCAAACAAACTCTTCCGCTTTATAATATTAAAGTATAGATTAACATCCGAAGCTCTTAAAACAAGGGATTTTCCAAACTAACGCAAAAGAAAAACAAATATTGTTTTTTAAAAAGCTTTTCGGCTGGTGGTATAAACAAAAGTAAAACACAATTTATGTATTATATTAGATGTTGATGATTATTAGTTTGAAATTACTAGGTTTTGAAAAAAATGGGAGGGAGCTCTAAAATGCTATCCCGTGTGCATCTTAGCGCCCCCTGCATTTCTTTTACTAGACACGAAACCGTCTATTATCTATGTATTCATGAACCTAGTATAATAAAGCAGATTTATTATCTGAGTAGAAACATTCAAGAAATTCTTTGTTATTGTAGTTCATTTGGATTGACGACGTTTTTATAATTTCACAGAAGAAATAGGCATTTATATTAATTTTAAGGTAAAAAGAGTCAACAGGTATGGAATGGGCACTATAATTAACTAAAGAAAAAAGTTTCTTCGTTTTTCGAGACTCAAGAAGAAAGAATATATTCGCATACGTTAGTTTGCTATTAAATTCACAACTGTGCGGTTTTCGGGAAACTTTCTGCCTCATACAACTGCGTTCTCCAATGGTCTATACTCGAAGCTATTGCCAAACCGCTACAAATTAGGGTCCTTCAAGAAGCGAGCATGTAATGTTCTCAAAGGCCGGCAACGCATCTGCGTTTCCTCTGATATTGCACAGGTTTATGGGCTAAAATGAACACCTTGATGTTCCCGCCACTCGTTAGCCCCTTTATCTTATAAAAAAAACTACATCTCGATTATCTTTGTTCTAATTAAAAAAATATTTCCAGTATACAGACTACCCCTTCCGCGGGCGTCATCCCCACAACAGACATCTTCCCCGCGCTGCGATGTCTCCTCGAGCGGCAAGAGGAAGCGGTCCTGGTCGCGCGCTGTCTTCAGCAACCTGCAGAGGAAGGGCCTCGAGCGACGTTTCCAGATACAGAAGTATATCACGAAGCCGGACAGGCGCCAGCTAGCGGCCACTTTAGGACTCACTGATGCTCAGGTTTGTATGTATACAATTTAGTCTATGATATCAAAGATTTAGGATAATAAAGTATTCGTCGTTACTCATTATCTTACTAATATTATAAATGCCAATGTTTAGAAGGATAGATGGATGGATGTTAGTTACAAGGTATCTCTGGAACAGCTCAATGGATCTTGATGAAATTTGGCACAGATGTAGAACATAGTCTGGAAGAACACATAGGGTACTAATTTTTTTTTTATTCCGCCGACCGAGTCGCGGGCGAAAGCTTTTCCATAATATTAAACTTCGGTATTAAGTAGTAAATTAATGAGTGATAAGGCCTAACTCCTTTCCCCTTATGTTGGCTGAGGATGAACGTTGAAATTCTCTATCGATGGTTAAATTTCAGTTACATAATCTAGCACGATTTATTTTATTATAGGTGAAAGTATGGTTTCAAAATCGTCGTATGAAATGGCGGCACACGAAAGAGGGTCGCGCCGGTCTGGGGGGCAGTTTAGGTGCCATCAAGGACTCTGACGCTCCCCTTGTCGCCGAGGATAATGAAGACATTGATGTCGACACTCTTAGCGATTAGCAATAAGATTTTTATATAATATAATACGTTTGGTGCAATGTAACTTAAACCCTTTTTCCACACGAGACTTTTTGTATTACCAGCAGCAGAAAAGAATTTTATGGCAATTATCCGGCAAGTATTTTATGTCAGTTTTAGCACATTTACAGAGGTTCGCCTACGAGTTTATCAGGTTACTAGTAAGCAAAAAAATTTCCCAACTCATTCCGAAATTCTTCCATGTGAAAATTTTAATCTGAGTGCCTGTAGAAATATCACGATATTTTTGCTGGCATTTCAAGACTATAAAAATGACAACATTATTCGATGCAGCTGTTGTTCCCTCGTTTGTGAAAATTTGACGCTGTCAAAGTGACATTGTTAATTCACATATTTTTCGACTGCCATAAGATCCTTGTCGAACTATACCTAAAAATAGCACTAGTAGAAAAGGGGTCTATGTTACGTTAAATTATTTAATAGTAAATTGTTATCTTAATTATTTAAAAGTGACGTAATTTTAATTGTAGAATTATTGAATAAATGTACAGTAACTAGGGCTTCCAAAACATTCGACATATGTAGAGACAAAACTAATATATTTTTCGTTTTAAAATACATTTTTAAGGTATAAATGTATAAAAGCGTTGCTGGTTTTGTTTTTTCATGTCTCATTGTTAATTTAAAAAAGATTGTTATATTTTAGATACGTTATTTTTTAAATATTTTTCGGTACTTTACGGATAGGTTAATAAACTTAGTATTGACATCAGGCTTTTATTTATCATGACGATTTGTTGAGTTTTTTAAATTTCAATCTATATACAGCGTGTCCCAAAATTCAACAATAAAACTGTAATGGTGTATAGCCAGAAGTAAACTACACTGGGAAAAATACAAAAAAATCCTACTATTTTTGTTTAAAAGTTATAATAACTTTTGTAACTTTTCTTATAATTAGAGAAGAAGGAGGAGAAGTCGTTGAAGGTATCTCCGGAACGGCTGGACGGATCTCGCTGAAATTTGGTATAGTTGTAGAAGAACACATAGGCTACTCATTCACTAATTCCGCGCGGACGGAGTCGCGGGCGACAGCTACTTACTAATAAAGGATTGTTAAAATGAAACAGATTCAATTTATTACTAATTTAATAATAATAAGATTTAATAAAGTTTCACATTACTTATTTTTGTGTACAATTTAAGTAGCTAAGTTATTTACAACCAATTCTAAAACCTAAACATATGCAAAGAATTTAAAAATTTTACTATCCAATGCAATTCAGTGAAACACATCATTTAAAATGTTTTTATATGATTACGGATAATAAGAAAATTCTTCTACTTTTCTTACGGTGAATATTCTAGAATTCTTACAGCTGTAAAATTTAATATGTTTATTACTTTTAAAAAAACACATGGAAATAGATTTAATATACATATTTCAATCTTATTTGAAGTAATACTTTATATATTAAGGGAAAGAGATTTATTTTAATAAAACTGATTAAAAAAAATTATGAAATGAGGAAATATATTCTTTATTTCCCAACCGTGATGCAAAATCCATTATTTCATACATTCATTAAAATGGAGCATATCTATTTGTTGTTTGATTCCAGATGTAGGATTTAGTTGCCACAAAATTATATGTACTTTCAAATTCTAACCTAATAATCGACAAGCTTAACTTTGTTTTTACAATTCCCCACATTATCTCTTTCATTTTTACAATAATTCCCCGCACTTTCTCTCTCACTTTTAAAATAATTTCCACCACCTTCTCTGTCGCCATGTTGGTATTGCGGCGGCCATTGTGATGGTCCTTCGCCGTGATATTTCGGATCTCTGTAATTATTTCTGAACTGAGGATTGAAAGGTCTTCTTCTATCTTGATAACTCTTATCTTCCCATCTATTATCGTAGTTTTCAAAACGATTGTACTCTGAACGGCCATGTTCTTTATTAGGATACCTTTCGTATCTATTGAAGCCTTGTATTTTATCTTCGTATCTTCTGTCATATTGTCTATTGTAACATTCTTCTGAATTATCTTGATATCTTCTTCTTATCCTCTGGTAATTATCACCAATTTCTTGTGCTCTAGCTCTGAACGCTTGTGGTGCAACTTCCTCCGACTCCCATACTGGTATTCGTTTGGGTTTGGGTGATGGAGATTTTGATCGACTATAGTCTCTTTTCTTCTCATCAGGTGATCCTCTAGAAAAAGATTTACAAACTTATTACATTTTATAATCTAAATAAATTGCATGATTATTAATAAATTGGGAAAGGTCTAAGAATCAAAGGGAAAAGACCTCACAATATTGTCATGACTTCTTTCGTCTAAAAAAAACCTTGGGTTTTAGACAAAGTGCATCCGTTTCGAAGAGATTCCATAGCGAACTTCAAAATTGTATGGAACTGATGCGCAACAATCACGTGACTTATCGGTTATTGTCAATTCTATACATTATTGAATCACCGCGAACAGAATGCATTTTGTCTAACCCCACTTACCCCTATTTTTTTAAATACTCACCTTCTATTTTCTAACAGCTATTTAATAAGCGTTGGTAACTTAGCCTGATGTTACAACTTCACAGCAAAGTAAGAATATCTAAGTATGGCAATAACACTAATCTACCTTATTTTTTGTATTTTATACATATAAAACCTTGTTGGTGTGTAAAAAGTGTTATATTTTGTTACTTACTAGTAATTAAAGAAAGATAAAAAAGCGTAAGTTAAAGCGCCTATAGAAAAAAAATAGCAAATTACTTTATTTAATAGATTGCGATGCATAATAACTAGGAACTAGTAGGATAAAACTACAGTCAAAGAAATGGTACGTTAATTATAATACCTCGAAGAAGAGCCGCTGCGACTTCTATCAGAGTTATCATCGCTCGAGCGTCGGTTCTGCAGATGTCTTATCTCACGTTGCCTGTTCAGTTTTGAAACAAAATATTCACAAACTAAAAAACAACCTACATCTGTAACTTTTAAATTCGAAGAACATTGACATTGACAAATTATATAGCAAAATAAATATAAAACACACACATTTGTTAATGAAAAATTCAAAAAATAAGAAATTTAATACTAAAACGCATTAGACTACTCTCTGTAGTATAAGAATAAATAATACACAACTACATATATCCATATTGAACTGAATAAAGGCACAATGTCACCATACATGTTACACTTTCACACAAATATATGTTGCATAATGTTTGTATGTATGATGTATAATGTTTGTATGATGTTTGTGTATATTTGTATGTGTGTGCGTGTGTGTACAGACTTGCGGCGCAGCTTGATGACGAGGTCCCGCATCTCCTCGTCGCGTCGCGCCTGCCGCCGACTCTCGCGCTCCGCACGCTCAGCCTCAGCGCGCTTGTCAGCACGCACTGCAACATTTTTCATCACATCAACATATTTATTTTATAAGTTTTTTTTAATTAGTCTTATTAATAATATTATAAATTGCGAATGTTAAAATGGATGGATAGATATTTGTTTGAAGGTATCACTATAATTTGGTATACATATAGAATAATTATTCTACGCGCGGAAAGAGTCGCGGGCAACAGCTAGTATAGCATAAAATCAAGAAGTTCATTCCTGCAAAGTTCAGGCGTTAGACATTGTGAAACATGCCTTAATTGTGAAAATAACTCACATTGCTTTGATAATTGAGCTTGCATTTTCCGTTTCAATTTCTCTTTTAGAGTAAGAGTTTCTCGCGATGGACCCTGTAAAAAAGATTAGATTAACAAAAATTGCAATGGTTTAAAAACCATTTTACTGGTTTTTACGGTTATAAATATAATTATATACAATGTACATAAAACATAACACAAATACATTAAAATAAAATTAATAATAAAGAAAACTAAGCAAATTAAATATTACAATACAATAACTTTATGTTAATTTCGTTACTATACGGGATGTCGCAAAATTTTATTCCAAATGCTTTACTTTGATTTTCGGGACATCCTGTATAAAATGTGATTTATTGTAAGTTAGACACTCACTAACTTTGTCATTCAATTGGACACTAATGACACCTTTAGTGTACATTTAATATGAAAAATCTACACTAAGGGTGACATTAGTGTTCAAATGCATTTGGTTAGTTAAATGAATAAAATTTTGAAGCATTTTCGCGTTCGCACGCTGCAATAACTACGCGTTTTGGGGTTAACAGAGATGTGGTAAAAATGAAAGCTTACAAAATGGAGGAGCAAATGATTCTTACTGACTTTGGTGCTGCATCCAGACAATCGTAACTGATTCTGGTTTGTGTTTGATTTATTGCCCACCGTCGATCTGAAATATAACATTGAATATAATTTAAATGTCAAAATATATATCATAGCACATTTGAGTTATATTAATCTTACTCATATTATAAATGCGAATGTTTAAATAGATGGATGGATGAATGGACGTTTGAAGGTATCTCCAGAACGGCTGAACGGACCTCAATAAAATTTGGCATATAGAACATAGTTTGGGAGAACACATAGGTTACTAATTAAGTTTTTTTTTAATTCCGCACTAACATATTCGTAGGCCAGCTAGTGATTTATAAAATGGAACACCATTAATCAAAAACTATGAAAATGGTTTGAAACCTTAATATCAAATTTTGCTGACTTTTCATTATTCCACATGCACATTAACCCACCTTCTAAGTTAAATAAGAAGTAGATAGAGATAGAAACACAGAAAAAAGAAGAACTCACTTATGTTTGTCATCATCTGTGTCACTAGTTCCAGAGTCAACGGAGAGTTCACTTGAAGACTTGTCTTCTTTACGCCGGCCGTAGTACCGCGGCACCGGCTTACTCTGACCTTTGTCGTTACTGCAATATTACGTATTATCTATTAAAAATATAATTAATCTTACTAATATTATAAATTCGGATGTGAACATGGAAGGATGTTTGTTTCAAGGTATCTCCAAAACTGCTGAACGGGTAGAATATATTCTGGAAGAACACATAGACTACTAATTAAGTTTTTTTTTAATTCAACACGGACGGCGTCGAGGGCGATAGCTAGTTTAAATATAAAAGTGTAGTATCAAACATCTATTGTTATATATTGACTTACATGTCTGTTGCATAAAGTGAATAAATTTAGCTTACCTTTCATACGACATCGACCGCGAATTATTATGGTTCATATTACTGTAAAAAGGCCAGAGTTTACATTGTTAGACATTTTACCTGAAGTTTTGATCTGTTTAAATTTTTTTAAATCTTTATTAGGAGAAACGGTACATTAAATAATAAAATTCAAGATGTGGGTATGGTCTACCAGAAACCCAAGCTTACATATACAGATATTTCTTCAAATGATTTCATTATTCAATTATGGGGTATTCCACGCCTAGGATAGTCAGAAAAAGTCGATGTTTAAATTTAAAAATTATTTAAGTATGATCTATATGTTAGGCGTCTTCATGAATTTAAAAAAAAAAGGAATGAAGTGGACTAAGTTTGAAAAAAATCAAGGATAAAAAATAAAAGTAAAAAACGTATGGGATTTTTTTTGTATTCAAAAATACAATTAATTAAAAAGCAAATTAAATGCAGTGGTTAAATTATTGAAATCCATAATGTACTTTGAAGTACCGCATGTTCAGTGTTTCAAAATTTCAAAGTCCCTTAATTCTTCAACTTATCACTATATTAAGAAAACATTTGATACATGTATATAGGTAATGTATAAGTAGAACATACTAAAATATTTCTTAAATAAGAAACATCGCCTTATTTAGACTGTCCGCTTGGCTGTTGAATGCCTCTTATACTAAATAAAGTCTAGTTAACATATATATAAATCAAAGTTAAAATACAAACTTGGAAGGGCTGCGGGATCGTTTATTTTTACGAGACCTTGACCTTGAGCGCGACCTTTTGTACGGGCTGTACGATCTTGAGCGCGACCTTGAGGATGCGGATCTTGACCTCGCGGACCTCGACTTTGAACGGGACTTCCTCCGCGAGCGAGACCTCGACTTAGAGCGTGTGATGGGTCGCGATCGGGAGCGAGATCGGGACCGTGATCGAGACCGAGAGCGCGAACGTGTATACGATCTCGTTCGCGATCTCGTCCTCGACCTCGCCCTCGTCTCTGGCACGCGAGGTCCTATCACGGGTCGCGCGTATCTATCTCTCAATGGTGAACTGGAAAAATGGTATTTACATACATTTGGTCAATTATTTATCAACTTTTATATTAAAATCATAACTCTATTTAACTATTCCATTCTTTATTATCTTACCTTGCCTTCGAGAATTTTCTCGCTACCTCTGCATACAGTGCTGTCTTCTTAAGATTTTGTTTCAATTTATCCACATACAGCGTCTTTTGAGACTGTACTGTTCATTACAAACAAAATAATGTTATTATTATTAATAAAATGACAAAATAATGAAGCTAAACTTGGTTAAATGACTTACATGGCTTAACTTCATCATCCTCCCCGCCGAAGGATGTGATGAATTCGATGTTGTCTGCGGGTGAGGGGCTGCGGCTGGGGGAGCGGCTCGGGGAGCGTGACGCCGGCCGGGGCTGCGGTGCCGCGTAGCTCGGGGGCGACACCACGCGCGTCGCTAATTTCTTGTCACTAAATATGTCAAATTAAATACTTTTTATTTTATTAGTCTACTCTTCACTTATTAGAGAAACTAGCTACTTTGTCCTTTTTATTTAACACATAATGACCCTTTCTCATGACCAATGTAAATTGCTAGCATCTTAAGCAGCTTGAGGACATTACTAATAAGTGACATAAGAAGAAAGGTAATAATAAATTATCAAATTGTTGCAACAAGTGTGCAAGTAAAACAAAAAAGAGAAACATTCTAACCGATGAGCGCGTCTCTCTCTTCTGCTCTTTCTGCCAGAGTACATGGCCTTTTCCTTTTCTTCTCTTAGTAGTTGTTTCTGATGTTCTGCATCATCCGCATCCCCAGTTAGGAATGAGAACATATCACATCCCGCCATCCCAAACAGTGGACCCACTGAATTCAACTCGTGTGCCTGTGCTCCATACAATTAAGCAGTTAGTAATTTGACAATTAACATTTATTGTCTTTGTATCAAACTCAAAAGCTGTACAAACTAAATACAAACTTATATATTAAACAAATTTCAAACCTTATAACAAAAGAAGTAAAGAACAAAGATGCACAAAAATACATATTAAAGGTGTAAATTGAATAATCTGATTATTTAAAAACCTTTGTTTTATATTATATATTGTAGATGCATATTTTTATGGCTTTTAATTTGTTAAGTTAAATTAACTGACCTGTGAAGCCTCCATTTTGTTGACATCAATGCTCAAATCAACATCAATAATTTCTATATCTGATTCATCATCAGAATCTTTTGCTTCCGTTTGTTTAATCTCAGGGCCTGGAATTTAACACTAAATGCCATAAGAATACCCTCATACAGAAACAAATGTTTATCCCATTAGGTACCCATATACATCCTTTAAGCATCACAGCTGATTGAGGTTTAAAATAAGTAGGGTTGAATCTACCATTAGAACTAGACGGTTCGGCTCCTGGATCATTATAATTGTAGGCAATAGCAGCACCCGTCCCTTTCTTTTCACCCAATTTCTCTTTCTGCATCTCTTTCTCTTCAACGGTGACACCAAACTGTTCTTCTATAGCTAATTGTTGTAAGAATTTGTCTTCACCTAAAAATTATAATTTATGTTATATATTTTGACCAGAATAGTAGACCTACTAATGGATAACTAAACTAAATAATGTGTCAATGTATTATTTTTTTAAGATTGACAATTTAAGAATATCTCCTTTCTAGTAATTGAATTTTTGTATACTTGTATATATTATTATTATACATACTTATTCCTAAGAATGCATTTTGTGCAAGAATTCTATATCTTTCATAATTGCACTGCCTTTCCTCTTGATCAAGTTCATCTGGTGGTATGTCTGGATTTTTTACTTCAGCTATGTAATCCAAGTGAGCTCTTACATCAAAACGGTCTATCATATTACTGCTGTCACCCTGCCATGGCATCCTGTACGAATTTATTATTTAAAATTGCAAAAAAATAAAAATATTTCGATTCGTCAGACGAAACTCTCTAATCTGATTTAGGAGATTCAACTTGTTTCTACCGACAACTCGGTTTATTAACTTAACTCAGATTATGTGGCACATAACTATAACATAAAATAATTATCAAATGCATGATTTAATGTTAAATTTGCTTTGTTATTTCAACTCACATTATAGCTGGCCCCTCCCCCGCGGCAGCAATAGCTGGATCCAAATGTATTTTACACGGTCGCCCATGAAGCTGCAGAAACTGAGTAGGTTCAGCCTTCTAAAATGTACAGAAATAAATAGTCTCATACTGAAGTGATTATAAAGTAAATTATTAAATGAACATGAGAAATAATTACAATTTTTTCATAGAAATCTTTGCGCCGCTCCGCTCTACGTTGGTAGTCCACAATCATACCACGGATCAATCGCTCCTGCTTACGAGCTTCGTGCCACATCTTACAATTTTAATAATACTATAACAATACTATAACACTAAAAAGAAAACCATTTATATCTGTTTTTCACTAAGAAACACTATGCAATTGCAATATATTCGCATTTAGATCTCAGTATGACAAGGTCGCCATTTTTATCCGATTGAACTGCCACAGCATAGAGTGTATAACGTCAACAGCGTAAATTATTTCAAAGACAAACCAATAAGCTGTGAGCTGAACTCATAAATTTAGCTTTATAAATAAATAAACAAAAAATTTAATTGGTAGTCCATGTGTTCTTCCGGACTGTTTTACATCCATGCAAAATTTTATTACCATCCGTTGAACCGTTCAGATCTAAAAAACATCAATATACATTTTCTTATTTATAATACGTATCTGTAAAATCGGGTTGGTAGATTAAAATGTCGGTATTTTTGATATTAAAAAGGTTTATCCCCCAGCCAATATGCGTCCACTGTTTAATTGTTTAGCCAACTGAAATAAGAGTATGTTCAGAACTGAAGTGTACTCTTATTAGTTTTAACACCGTATCATCACCTATTTTTTATAATTTCAACGATTTAACAACATCCATATAATGTTAAACTAAATAACATTTAATTACTAAAATTGTCCATCACAAATAACTTTAAGCTAATACAATGCATATTAATAGAGCTTAGAATAGGTAAGAATAGGAACAAGACTGCTTGGGAAATCTAATTAAATAAAAAAAAATAATGTCATGATTTATTTTACAGCATAGAGAAATATTTCACTATTACTCTCTATATCAAAGAATGCTTCATTTTCCATTTGCTGTGGTTTACAAATTGTTAACCATTCCATAAATTCTTCAAAAATATCTAAGTAACCTAAAGTATCAGCCATACTTCTGTTGGTAATAATAAAAGTGCCTTTCTTTATATGCTTTTTGAAAAAATACCACATTTCTTTATGTTTTTCAATATCAACAAAAAAATCAAGAACATTGATAACAATTATATCAGATAATTCAACAATATCATGTTTCTCCATTACATCAGAATGTATAACTTTAATTCTATTTCTGTCCATTGAAAATTGACTTATAATATTTTCTTGTACTTCACAACATTCTTTGTTCATTTCTATTCCAATTATTGAACTCGCATTTGAAAAGTGGTAAGCCTAAAAAATAAGATAATACTTTATTAGTAAAATGCCCATTAACCAAATCACTGATTATCCGAATTGGTTATATGTGTAATTAAAAAAAAAAAACAAGCAATTTTTGTTTTGTTGGAACTCACTGGAATCCAGATATATTTTAACTGTTATGTAGAGGGTTATTGTACCACTGTCTTTGTTAAATTAAGCTTGTAGTGTATGCATAAACGTAGTGTTGTTTGTCTCGAGCGTACACGCCATAAGTACATACCGGAGAGAGGGGACGTCAGTCGATGTCAGACCTTTGAGCCGGTAACACGTGTCGGTACGTGAACGAGCCAAATATAGCACAACGAATGCTACAAAGCTTAATAAAGTTTATTCTATTGTGACAGTCTGTTTTTGTTTTGGTCTATGTTGATTATCCCAATTAATTTGTTGTATCGGAATTTAACTATATCACATAGAATTATTTCATTACAATTACATTTTTCACACTTACTCCATATAGCACTGCTCCAAGTCTTGACCCTACATCTAATAACCGTTTTCCTTCTAAATCTGCAGGTAATAGAACATTGAAGATAAATTTTAGTGTTTGTCTGGACATTGAATGTGAAGTATAGATCAATTCCTGAAAGTAAAAAAAAGTTAAACCGACCCATTTATTATAAAGAAATATTACTATATTACATGATATATATTACCTTGACATTTCGGGAGTTACAATCAATACAATAATGTCTTTTAAGTTTTCCACATTTTATCAAGTTTTCAACTGCTTTTTCATCATATAAAAACTCGTCTATATGGCATGTGTTAGCTTTAGTGCAGTCAGCCTGGTCTCCGACAATGGGAGGTACTATGTTCTCAGAAGCCAATTCTCCTTCAAAAGGCACAAGTTTTCTTAACTTCTTACCAATTTTAATTAAGTCCTCTTCTTTACTATCAAGATCTTTTTTAAATTGTAAATCTAGAATAATACGAACATGGGTAATCATTTTGCTTTAAACTTGAAATACAAAAATGCGAATGTATACCTTTTCTGTAAGCCCGAGACAAAATCCAGTTTTCAATAACATCTAACTGTGCTTCATCTAAGTCTGCAAATAGTTCCAAAAATTGGAACTTGATATCAAAAACATCGTCTTCTGACATTTTTGGTGAAAAGTTATAACAAATTTAAATAAATAAAGCACCGTATGAAACACAAACTAATGTTTCTGTTTTCAAAATCTTTATAGGTACTATAAAAATATAAGATATGCATTAGATTCAGATAATCCTTATTTGAATAACCTTATTTATTATATAGTATACTATCTATGCTAATATTAAATTAGAGCAACTAGTAAATAAGCAAAAGCAACAAAAAACGAGGTTTGAATTAGGACGACACAAGACACATGACAGATGACAGTTCAGTTGACCATAGACTTCCAATAGTAGAGTATAATATTTAATACAGATGCGTTAAAGGTAGCCAAATCTATAGAAGCCTAATTGCTATTCCACCGTTATTTTCTTGTCGCTTCTATTTAAAAATGATCACATAGCACTAGGAAAATTGCTGTTAAAGTCAATTTTTTTTGTATAAATCTCTTTTTTGATGTTGCGTTATTTATAAAAAAATATTAGTTTCATGGAACTACCTTGCGTTTCGCAAAATGTTACATTGGGCAACTGTTCGTTAACTGTTATTTTGCGATAGCTTATTGCCTTATATCGGTTATAATTTAATGTTGTGTTTTCGTTTTCCGCCACTTCCGCGGAAAAATAAATTTGCAGGTCGTATGGAGTTAAATTTATTGGTTACCTGCTTTTTTATTTGTAATTATTAGACATTTCGTTATTTATTTTTAATAATTTTATATTCGAAAGAGTATTTTTATCTTTTATGCTTGAGAACACTGGTAAAATTTTACTTTCTTCTAACAAAGTGTGTTGTGTTTTAACTGCCATAATAAAGTTAAAGGAAACAAATAGCAAGATGAATAATAAACAAAGTAACCGTCGTAAAAATATTGGGATATGGATATCGGAGAAGAAGAGTCAAAAGCTAAACTGGAAGGAACTAATTAAAACTTGTAATTCACATGGTTACAACCTTATCAAGGTAATTAAGTATTTCTTATTATTTTAACTACTGTATTAATGATTGGTCTACTGTTTCATGTTTTATTTATTTGACATCGTTAATTTTTATAGCTAGATTTGGAGAAACCTTTGGAAGATCAAACAGAGTGTGATGTTTTTCTTCATAAATTGACCGATGTTATAGCTGCATCTGATCAAGGTGATTTAAAGGTACTATCGTGAATTTATTAATTAAATATTACGTCACTTAAAACGTGACTAATTGTATGCTGACTCAGTCGGCGTATTGAAATTTTAAGTTTACAAAAACTAATTTAGTTTTTTAATTTAGTATATTTTTGCAGGCACTTCACATCATTTGTAATGTTCAACAGTATCTATCAAATCATCCAAATACAACAGTAATTGATCCAATTGATAATGTAAGGATCTTGCTAAATAGGTAATGAAAAAATAAAAAGTTTAAATTCTTCAAAGTTTACACCAATTTATAAAAAATTTTTAGACAGCACACAATTATTGAATACTTTATTTTACACCTGTATTCCGTATGTACCAAACAGCAACAGATGTTGATTTAACATACCGCAGACATTTAAATATTTTTCTATTGTTAATTATGACTCATTGCCATTTTCAGGCACTGCTATTATTCTATATTACAAGAGGAATTATCACTTCAGAGACATGGAATATTTACACCAAATTTTGCTGAATTCAAGACATGTAATATTGAACAAAATGTTGAGATAATGCGGCAATGGGGAGTTTCATTTCCTGTTATATGTAAACCAACAATCGCACATGGTTCAAAATCTGCTCATGAAATGGTTCTTATATTTAACAAAAAAGGTTTAAATGCTTGCAAACCTCCATGTGTGGTCCAGAGTTTTGTTAATCATAATGCAGTATTGCATAAAGTTTTTGTAGTGGGAAACAGGTAAGATTGACACTTATATTAAATTCAAGATGATTTAATTTAGTAATGACTCAAATGAATGGTGCTTTTTTAGCAACATTACTTCCTAGACATTGTGTTTTGTTAAAGGGAAATAAGTTGTTGTTAAAAGACCTTGATGATTTGAACTTTTTTTGTTTAGATTAAAAAAAATAATGAAGTAAAAAGTTTGTATGTATTGCAATTGACCTTTTTTCATACTACTACTTTTTTTTAAATAGCTAATGGTTTCATTTTCAGATATCATATATGTCAGCGGCCTAGTCTAAAAAACTTTAATGCATCTGAAGAATTGGAACCTATATTCTACACCACTGGTGAAGTTTGTAAAGCAGACAGTCGGTCAACTCTATCTATATTAGATCCACACGACAAGCCTGATGTTAAATTGACTCTTGATGAGAACAAAATAAAACCTATTATCAAATTATTAAGAGAAAAAATTGGCTTACTACTGACTGGTTTTGATGTAGTTATAGATAATACAACAGGTAACCATGCAGTTATAGATATAAATGTGTTTCCGAGTTACGATAATTTTCCAAATTTCTTTGATCACTTATTGGATTGTATCGATGAAAATGTTAATAAAATGTCTAATGGAGACAGTTGTCATACAAGTTCGAGTAATGGTTTAAATGATTACTATTGTAATTATATTTCAAATGGATTCATTAATGTAGGTCAAAGTACAAATAGGTTAAGTGTTACAGGTATGAATATAAATTGATAAAATTAATTAATCTCTTAATTGTTAAACTGCCATGATTTATATTTGTTTTGCATTTTTTAAATGAATGAGAAAAAAACATAGAGTAAAATTTTTGAATACTAAATACTTCATATAAGCTTTAGTCTTCAAGTAAATGGTCTTTGTTACGATTTAATGTTGTGCCAATTAATTCATAACCTCTGTTTGAATGTGTGTTTGTTGATGATGGAAAAAACAAATTTGAAATATGTACATTTATAATTCATGATTTGTAAATAAGAATTTTACTATAAGTAGTATAATAAGTATTAAGATTTTTATACTATAAAAATAGTATTTAACTAATATGTAACTATTAAATATGCTGTATAATTTGTGTTTTAAATTTTAGCTTTAATAATATCTATATACAAGTAATATAATTAAATTGACTATGTAATATCAATAAATAACAAAATCTTATTTCTTGAACATGATGCATTTCCGTTGCTTTCTAAATAAACTATTTTTAAAATGTTTGTCTGTATGTCAGTGTCTGTTTCGGGTAATCTCCACAACGGCTGAACCAATTTCCATGATACTCTTACTGGATGGTAGCTTATTAGTGCGGGAGTAACCGACTCAGTTCAGTAGTTTCGGAGCCTATTCCATGCAAACAAACAAATATTCAAATATTTCCTTCATATTACATTAGTTGTAAGAAACATTTGTTATGTCAAAATTAAATCAAAGGCAATAAAAGCACTTCTTTTGGAATTGTTCAAAATGCTTACAAATTAAAAAGAACAAACGCACAAGAATATAATGTTTTATTGGATGTGGGTTATGTATGTACAGTTTTTTTTTTAATTTCTGTTTTATAATAGAATATTGCTTTGTAAACAGCTCTTAACTATTTTTAATCTTGTATATTGTAGTACTAAAGTTCGATTTAAATTTAAAGCGGTACAAATTTTAAATAGTTTATTGTTTTTTGCAAGTACTCTGTACATTTGGGTAGTTTTGATCAAGCCTATAATTCGTCAAATATCGAATATTAAAAAATATATATTTTAAATTAATACCTCTTATATATGATTAAAAAAGTCGAGGATGAAGTTTCTGTTTATTTTTTTAATTACAGTACCACAAGAAGGATCAGTCTTCAAATGTGGTTAAAAAATTACTATCTGTTGACCAAAATCTCTATAAAATCATATTGTCATCCCTGTCATTATCTTTGACAAAACAAATGTAACAATATGTTTCAAACGGGGATTTTGGGCTCAGAAAGCCATGGTTAGAGTTTTTAAAGTTTGGTGCAGGAAGCTTTTAAAATAAAAATCATAAAGAAGTAAGAAATAAGTAAGTAATGTGTATTGTCAATTTTTTGTTGTAATTATGGCTTGCAACATTTCTTATATGGTTAGTATTGATCTGGAAATTAGATTTACCATGGGTTTCTAAGACCAAAATCCAAGTTTAAAAGATACTGTTATCTCTGTTTTGTCAAAGATGATGAGAGGGATGACGATATATTTTAAATAGAGATTTTGTCTCGGAAACCTAAGGTTAGATGTATGTATATTTCTAAACATTCCATGAAGCAATGTCGGATGTATTATTTATCTGAGACTGATTTTTGAAGTTTTCTAGTTTTAAGTCTTAAGTGCTGTTTTACACTATAATGTTATTCGAATGTATTATATTATAATATGTATCCTAACTATTACATATACTATGTGCTCTCTCACACTATATTGTCATATATTAATATAGCATACTAACATTTATTTGCCTATAACATTGTATACATAAGTTCTACAATTATATATTTTTACAAAATAAAGTATTTCGTTTATTACTTAAAACCCTATAACTTTTTTTTCAGTATTCTGCGTGGTTCTTTAGGTTTATAATACGCAAAGGATGAAAGAAGGTTTTGGAATAAGCGCATAACAGTATACAAAAATGTACGTTGCTGCTTCTAATATTACACGGTTTGCGACAACAGTTACGTTCAGTATGCGTAACGATAAAATGGGCAATTGTTAATTCGATACAGTCGCGTGCATAAATCACATCTAGTTGCAGTAGTGGTAAATCTGCACAATTTATAATGCATTACGTGAAGAAAACATCCGCAACACTCGTCGTGCTGCGGCGCCTTAACACAGGAAGTATAACCGTATCGCAAATCTAATGTTCCACAAGATGGATACAGAGATCTATCGCCGGCTAACGGTGGTCGTTAAAAAAAAATTGGAACCTGGTATAATTATTGTTGCGTTGTTCCGAATTGCGATTCAGTCAGCTGTGGGCACACGAGGCAAGTGCACGTCGCGCGCCCGCGCCCGCGCATCGCCGTTCGCTTTCGTATTTTCGCGTTATGCTAACGTCGCACGTTTTTAAACTGCGTACCGGTTTTTCGAAAAAAAGTTTATGTGTATAATGATAATTCATTTAAAACAAATTGCCGATTTCCTGCTTCGTTGGTGGACTGTGAATATATTTATTTTTTAATAATCGATGGTGATTGTTTTGCGTTGTTATGATATTCAGTTTTCCGATGATGCCTACTAAAGCAATCAATTTTGGAATGTGTGCCACGATGTGTTGTTATTGTGAACATTAAGGACACACGTGAAATATAATCACAAGTAAGTTTTTTATTGTTTGAGCTCAACATGTATAAGATTTTTCGTAACCGAAGATTGCCGGTCTCGAAACCAAGACTGGACTGTTCTTTGTATTTTTCCAAAAAAAATCAAGAAATTTATTTTGATTGGTTGGGAAACTATTTTATTATAATTTACTTAATTAGTTTTTCCTCTAATAATCACTTAATTTTTAAGTCACAAATATCACAAAATTTCTCTTTTTAACTTAGATATATTTTCCAAACAATATCTGACGTTTATTTTGCACAATGACTTTGGAAAATACTTTGCACAATTTTTCAACTTTATGATAATTACCAATGAATAGGATGTGGTTTATTGAGTTTATTTGATACATTTTAGCAGTTTCCAAATAGCTGATGCCTCTAACAATAAAACGAGAAAGTCGAAATAACATTTAAGGTGTATGCAAATTGGATCGTTAGTAAAGCAAGGCACTCTAGTTAATTTAATGGTTTATCGTATTTTATACTTCTATTTCAGTTTTATATTTTAGTTACATGATTGTATATGATTGATAGACGTTTTCATCATCATAAAAATAACTAAATGATTTTTGAAAATTTTCCAATACATTATAAGTAGGTTCTTACACAGGGCTATGAAGAAGGCCTTTTCAACTGAAGTGGATGTAAAACGTCAAAGTTCTGCGGATGCGGAGGTTAACGGAGGCGGAGGCGGAAGTGGAAAAAAATTTAAATACTGATTATCAAAAAAAACATATGTTTCTGTTCTTGTGGTACCTTGTATAAAGATCTGTGTTATGCATGGCAACACCAACATGTGGTTACAAATCTAGTACATGAAACTAAAGTCAATAGTCGAAAATTGTTTCCGATTCATTGGCGGAATGGTTTAATTTTATAAATCGATTTATTCATAAAAAGGTAAATAGGTATAATAGATAAACCAGCTTTGCTATTAACAAGCTTTATAGTAATTGGATCTTCGGATTCTTTTACTAAACGCATTGGAAACAGCTGTAACCTGATGACTTGTGTCATATATGCAGTTAGATATCGTTCTTGATAAGTTTGTTGCACAATTTTACCGTTTTACAAGTATTTAAAACTATTATTTTGCATTTATTACGTAAATATTGAACATACGGATAGGATTTTAAATTACTTAATAACCAAGACATAAAACCGTTTACTTCACTGTTGATATTTAGAAATTATATTAATATCTTTAATTAGATTGAAGGTAGAATCGTGGTTAATATAAAAATATATCGTAAATTAACGGTGAATAACGTATAAATCCCTTTAAAATAAATATGTGTCGGAAAAACAGTCGTTCATGTTTCGTTCTTAATTGGTAGTTTGCAACTAAAGCGTCGTTTTAAGATTCAAGGTTATTCCTTTTTGCGTATTTATTTTGCCGCGTATTGTACACTAACTATCGCCTGCGACTTCGTCGATGGGAAATCAAAAGAAAACATTTATTAGCCCTTGTGTGCTTCCAGACTATGTTCTAAATCTATGCCAAATTTAAACAGACTCCATGCAGCCGTTCCGGTGATATCTTCTAACATTCGCATATTAGTAAGAAGTAAGATATAGTATTAGTAAGATATGCAAAGATTTATTAATTTTTTTTAAACCATGAAGTTCATATTTTTTAATAGGGGAAGACTTCTATAAAACATCATGTTTTATTGAACGGTGAAAACAAAGATCGCAATCACTATCCTTTATACTTTACCGACCTTTAATAAGCAGCCGCCGAATTGATGTTAATTGACACGGGTAACCTTTTTGGGTAAAATTTATTTTGTGTTAAAAATACTGATTTCGAGTGACAATTTTTTTATATTCAAATAAGTTGCTGCGTTAATTTCTTTAATAACTCTCTCTTATAAAAACGTAAAGGACAGAAGCTAAGTATTGACTACTCAAATCGATTAAAGTACTTTTACCTGATATCAAGTTAAAGTATGTTAAGCAAAGCCCATGAATTAATAGTTTTGGTCTAATTTTGTTTTTTTTCTAGATCTGTATGAGGATAAAAATTACTCATATGTTTTAATCCTATGGGGAGGAGAGTTTCCATTTTGATTCTTTATATAACATCCAAAATCTTACAAAGTTAAATTAGATGCTGAGCCACAAAAATATAACCTGTCTCTCGGTGACTTGATGCAAGATCAATTATAATACGTTATAAAAATACAAATAAAGTTATCTCCTTTAGATGGCAACCCTTACTGTCGCTACTGTCATCGGTTTACAAAATGAATTCCGAATTAGTATCGCTCGAGTTCCCGCGACCTTCGTCTCAGTATCGTCGCAGAATCGAACTGTCTCGTCTGTTAACTGTAAAGTGAAACTAGTTTGCTTGTCGGCCGTCTTTAATGGGATCGGACGCGTTCCATAGGGTTGTTCTTCCTATACTTTTTTAAACAAGTGCGTAGACAAGGCCTCATGGAAAGACCAGCTTGTATCCGGCCTCATTGCTCTTGTTGTTTGTTTTGATAGAACTAAATAAACATCCTTATAAACTCGTAATCGCATACACAAGATTATGAGTGTGTATGAAAGCAATATCATCCCTTTTCCTATATCTATTTTGCTATTTGTGTTGTATTTTAGTCAATTCAATACGTTAAAGATTAAAAACCCAGAAGATATAAATAGCAATAAGTAGGGAAAGGTGACTTAAGCTATTCATATTTACATTAATCATCTAAAAGATGATAGGACAGTACCTGTCTATTCCAGTTAACCTAAAATCTAACTTTGGAATCTAGATTTTGGCTTTGTTAAAAAATTTCAAAAGAAATAGGATATGAAGGATTTTATAAAAGTGTTAGTAAGTTTTTTAATATTTATTTTGTCGGTCCGTATATCGTCAGCGTCAAATATTGCTGTTTTTTCAGTCGACGTATGAATAGAGCGTTGTTCCTTTGTTTCACGATGTTGCCATGGCAACTTTTGAGTTAACGGTGAGTTAACATTTTTGATTTTATGAAAGCTTGTACTGAGGGTTTTTATTAGAAAAAAATGATTGTCATAAATAACAAATATAACAGGTATGTATTGACAATTTCATGACCCTGAAAATTATGACAAGATAATTATAAAAAAACGACATATAAAAGTTATGGCATGTATTAATAAGTATTTTATATACTAGGGTTTAATATGAATACATTTATTTCTTTTCTTACTATGCGATATGCAAGTTTATCACTGGCAACAAATCGCTTGCAAATGCGCTGTTTAATCGCGATAGCATCGAATTTGTGTCGACATTATGATATCGATATGGTGCTACTAATGCATATCGATACCATTTATCCGAGTATTTACACATCGTATTACAGTATACGACTTATCTTACTATGTATTAAGCTCGATATCTTTAGAAGTTTACCGTTTTTATACATAACACTGAATGTTTTTAAAATATTGCTACACGGATCTCAGAGTCGATATCTTTAATGACATAAAAACTACTGCATAAGTGTAATTTAATGCACAAAAGTGTATATTTATTGCATACTAGCTGTCGCCCGCGACTCCGTCCATGCTTAAAAAAAAAAAACTTAATTAGTAGTCTATGTCTTCTTTCAGAGTATGTTCTACATCTATACCAAATTTAAACAATACATTCAATCAAACATCCATCCATCTAAACAATCGGATTTATAATATTAGCAAAATGTTAAGTTGTTTTTGTATTTGTTAATTTTCTTTTACTATATTTCTGTTCTACATCAGTAATTTAATATTTTCTTACCTTAAACCCAATACTAGTTTGTCACCGCTTGGCCTACATTTAGTGACACAGAGAGAAATTACTCGTACCTAGGTTAGAACATAATTTATGAGATCAAGTGCAGGAAACCATTGTTCATAATCATGGGAATTGTGCCGGAATAATTCTGAGCAAATTGTAATCGATTTAGATAACAAAACAGATAGTCCATTCTTCCATGAGTTTATCCAGCATCCTACGGTCGTAGACTCATCCTTACCTCTTATTTTCGTCCATCATTTCGTCGGTAATTGTCCTTGTAATATTGTTTCCTCTTTTGTTATCTTACTTATATTATAAATGCCAGTATTTATATGGATGGATGTTGAAGGTATCTCCAGAACGATTGCATAGATCTCGCTGAAATTTAGCAAAGATGTAAAACATAATCTGAAAGAACACACAGGGTATTACGGGCGATAGCTAGTTATTTCATAATTGTTCGTATGCATGTAATAGAAATATTTGACTGCTTCATGACAAGTTCTATTTAAATCGTGAAAGTAGAAAAATGTTCCATTGTTTTATGTCTTATCAGATGGCTGCGAAATGGTTGAAATGTTTTTTATGCGTGTCGAAGGCTTGCAAACAAAGCGTAGGCGTGTGGTATACTTCGAACCTCCGCGAGGCACCTCTGAGGTTGGTGCCGAGGCAAATATTGACACAACGCGGTGGCAATTGCGAATTGACGCTTGCGACTATTGATGTGTTAAATGTGTTTGTTGAGCATTGATTTGTTACTCTTCTTTTGTTTGTTCGTTTGCGCACTATTTCACAGAATGTTGTAAACAAGTCATTGCTTTTACTAACCTCACTTTTGTATGTACTTAAAAGTATCCTATTAATGTTACGAATAGTTTTAAATTCAAAAAGGAATCAGTCTACTAATACAAATAACTGTCCAAAATATGAATAAAGTTGTTAGAAAATAATAACTCTGGTACATTATATGACAGAGTTTGTTATTTAAGCACTGGTACTATATGAAACAATATATTTCTTGAAACAATTGAATGATTGTTACCCGCTGTGTATATTTATAAACACGAGTTAACCCAGTAATCAACATAAGACATTCAACGTACTGTACCTCGAGCCATTATCATAGGTTTTGTGTACTATACAATAACTGCAAGGAAAGTGTTTGTCATAACAACAAAGGCTAAATGTAATTTTTTATATCTTAAGGTGGCAAAGGTGGAGGGCGCGACAACCTG